TTGCAGGATTCTCAGAGGCTTCTAGTTGGCCCCTTTGAGATCAGGATGTTGCAGCCGATGGACCCATCATCATGGCTCTTCCTCTGTTGTTATGCTATCAAAGTGTTGGTGCTGACCTTTAAAGCCCTAAACGGCCTCGGTCCAGTATACCTGAAGGAGCATCTCCACCCCCATCATTCTGCCCGGACACTAAGATCCAGCGCTGAGGGCCTTCTGGCAGTTCCCTCACTGCAAGAAGCCAAGTTACAGAGAGCCAGGCAGAGGGACTTCTCGGTAGTGGCACCCACCCTGTGGAACGCCCTCCCACCAGATGTCAAGGAGATAAACAACTACCAGATTTTTAGAAGACACCTGAAGGCAGCCCTGTTTAGGGAAGCTGTTAATGTTTAATAGGTTATTGTATTTTAATATTCCATTGAAAGCCGCCCAGAGTGTCTGGGGAAACCCAGCCAGATGGGCGGGGTATAAATAATAAATTATTATTATTATTAACATTGGCATCAGAGGGAGCCCAGTGTAAGAGCTGGGCAAAGCTCAATTGGGTGAGAAATCTCAAATTCCAGGTTCAAGAGGCTTTCTCCTCCTCCACCCCCCCTTGCCCCCAATGTCCTTTGATCTTCCCCCTACCTGACACCGCTTGCTCCTCTGAACAGTCAAGGCCATCCGAGCCTCTCATTCCCAGCTCTCGCTGATTTTCATTACATTTCCCTCTGTAGATTTTTTCCTCCCTGCTCTCCTATTTTGATTAAATCCTTCTGGCATTTCTCACGGTCCTTCATAGCCTCTCTCTTTTTTTTTCTGGGGAAAAAATATATATAATTCTTTTTCAAAGGAAATAGTTCTCTGTCACTTGAAGAGATTTCATCACCTCTCCGGCTTCCCAACCCGTTCCTAAAGAGATTAATAAACCACAGCTCTGGGACGGTCCCTCTGGGTTCACCTGGCCTGAACCCCATTCCTCTTGGATCAGCCCCCGGCACCCTGACGCTCTCCGTTTCCATTTTGGATGCAAAACAGGATTCTGCCCCTTCCTCTGTAGACACTTATTTTCTTTAGGAATCTCCTATGAGGAACCTTGTCCACTAGTCTTCTGAAAACCCTACAAAATTGTGCCCAGCAGTTCTCAAGATTTCTAGTTCCCATTAACTCTTTCATAGCCTTCCAAACAGACTTGGAAGTGTATCCCAGTTTGTTACGCAGCCAAGGGTGCTTGGAGCATTAGGCTGAATGCTTTTTTTGGAGAGGGGGGTCCCTTCTCCTGAATTCAAACTCTAGGTTTAGGCCCAGGCTATGACCCTATTCTTTGATCACTGCAGATGGTGACAGCAGTCACGAAATTAAAAGACGCCTGCTTCTTGGGAGAAAAGCCATGACAAACCTAAAAAATAAAGGGACTCCTGACCATTAGGTCCAGTCGTGACTGGGGTTGCGGTGCTCATCTCGCTTTATTGGCCAAGGGAGCCGGTGTACAGCTTCCAGGTCATGTGGCCAGCATGACTAAGCCGCTTCTGCCGAACCAGAGCAGCGCACGGAAACGCCATTTACCTTCCCGCCAGAGTGGTACCTATTTATCTATTTGCACTTTGACGTGCTTTCAAACTGCTAGGTTGGCAGGAGCAGGGACCGAGCAACGGACGCTCACCCAGTTGTGGGGATTCGAACCGACTTTCTGATTAGCAAGTCCTAGGCTCTGTGGTTTAACCCACAGTGCCACCTGCGTCCCTTATGACAAACCTAAATTCAGGATCTTCAAAAGCAGAGACAGCACCGTGCCGATCAAGGTCCATATAGTTAAAGCTATGGTTTTCCCAGTAGTGATGTATGGAATGGATAGCTGGACCATCAAGAAGGCTGATCACCGAAGAATTGATGCTTTTGAATTCTGGTGCTGGAGAAGACTCTTGAGAGTCCCATGGACTGCAAGAAGATCCAACCTCTCCATTCTGAAGGAAATCAGCCCTGAGTGCTCACTGGAAGGACAGATCCTGAAGCTGAGGCTCCCAGACTTTGGCCACCTCATGAGAAGAGAAGACTCCCTGGAAAAGACCCTGATGTTGGGAAAGATGGAGGGCACAAGGAGAAGGGGACGACAGAGGATGAGATGGTGGGACAGTGTTCTCGAAGCTACCAGCATGAGTTTGGCCAAACTGCAGGAGGCAGTGGAAGACAGGAGTGCCTGGCGTGCTCTGGTCCATGGGGTCATGAAGAGTCGGACACGACTAAACGACACAACAACAACAACAAGAAGAACAACAACATGACCCTATTCTCCCATATGAACCTGTCAAGGTTCCAAGATCTTTGGGGAGGCTCTTCTGATTTAGTTTGCATTTTAATGTGGACCTAGCTCATTTGCATTTTCGAAGCAATGTGCAGCCTTCAAAGCAGCTGCACGTCAAGGTTTGAACTTCTCCGAGTTTTGCAACACAAATATGTGAAGGAATCGCACGCCGCTCCAATTTCCGAGCACTGAAAGGCGTTCCTGAGGATCCAAGTTGGTGGTTATCGCTGCCTCCTGTGGGAGCGAGATCCATGGTTTAACTATGCGCTGTGCAAAGAAGGACTTTATTTGATCTGTCCTGGAAGTTCTGCTTATTAGAAGATGTGTTTGGCTCTAGAAAGTCCCGCCACCTTTCCTACTGCAGGAAGAGGAGGACAAGAAGCTGCAGGATAGGGCAAAAACCTGCATGCTTCCTTCTCTTGGTAGTGGCAGGTGGGCAGAAACCAGGAAGACCTGCTCCCTGCCTTAAAGGCCTTTTCCCACCTGGCCTGGGAGAGTGGGACCCGGACTGACTCCAGCTACAAAAGCTGAAGCCATTGTTGAACAGACTCTGCAGCTGGAGTGCTGGTTAAGGGTTTTTGTTGTTGGGTTTGTTGCTGTTGTTGAAATTAAATTTTTGTATCTTTATTTTAGATTTGTGATTTATGTGGAAATTGTTTGATTTGGTGGTGTACTTTAGATGTATTGTTGTTTATGACTCCTTTTGCCTGCTTTTTTATGTTATAAGCAGCCTTGAGTATGGTTTTAACTTGGGGAAGGTGGCATAGAAATAAAACAATTGATTGGTTGATTGATTGATCTAAAAACTTGCAGGAGAGCAGTGCGGCAGTGAATACTTTCCCCCCCGTGGCAAAATGTGTAGTTCCAGGACTGAAAGCAAAAATTTTATTATCCGAGCAGTATAGCAATAACTCTGAAGACAAGATCAGTTCTGTAAATGATGAAGGACATACTTTGGAAAATGGAAAGCAACTGGAATTTGGACTGGGAGGAGGAAGGAACAGAGAAGGAGGAACTCCATCCCTGAAACTTGAGGCCCAGAAGTATCTTCATCTTTGGCTGAGAGCCAGTATTTTTATTCTCTGTTTCTGAAGTGCTGGTTTTAATTACAGAAAAAGCTGCCTATTTGGTTTCCATCCATCTTGATCTCCACTATGCAATCCCTTTGCTATTAATCAACTTGACCAGAAGCCAGCAAGACGCCTCCACCGATTTTTATTTTTTTAAATCAGGTGTGGGGTGGAGAGAAAGGGAAAGAGGGAGGGAGGAAGTCCAAGCTTGGCAGGGGAATGTCTTCTAGCCAGGGTTGCCATGAGAAGTAACCCACCTTCATGGAGAGCTAGGGGCCAGAGCTGGATCTGGATCTGGCAACACACTCACGAGGTAGGCGAAGAAACCAAGAGGCTGGTGCCAATTTGCCAAATGGATAAAAAATCCTACCAGGCGCCTTGGGCAACCAAGGCCACCAACCAAATTCCATAGCAAGGTCAATACGCAGAAGAAGATGACCTAAGAGGGAGGGAGGGCAGTAGATCCGAAGAAAGCAGGAACAGACTGGGAGCTGAGCGCTGTCACTGCTGTTTAAATGTGGCTAGCCCTGCCCACCAGCCGGCCCTATTGGTCGCCTGGAAGGCTTGGCCGCGGCAGCTGAAGCAATCAGGAGCAGGGAGCCGTACATGCCCCCCTGCCCCAGCGGGAAGCTGCTCCCGCTCACAACCTCTCTCCTCTGGGAGGAAGAGAGGCCTTGTGGGTTTCCCTACAGGCATCCGTTTGGCCATTGTGAGAATGGGATGCTGGACTAGAAGGGCCACTGGCCTGATCCAGCACCTTTGGTTATGTTCGTAGCCTTACACAAGACGCTGCTCTCACCATCAGTTCCCCATCTGCAATCCACGTCCCGTCTTACAGGGTTGTCATAAAGATGTCATAAAACACCAGCGCACACAAACTGCTGTGAACGTCGTGAAAGTACTATGCAGATGCAAAACGCTGTTCTTAAACCCAGCCATCTAGTAATAACAGGTTTGTTTGCTTTTGCCAGTTAATGAAGATGGTTTTTATTCCAGTAGGCTTTTGTTTGCATGCGGCAGAAAATGGTTTTATGCTTTTGCTTTTAACTCCCGACCCTTTATCTTTGGTTGATTGTTTTGTATTGTTGCGTTTACAAAATGGCAATGTTTAAAGGTTGCAAGCACCCTGAGTGGAGCTGTGCAAGTGCGAACGCTTAAGTAAACAAACATGGATCTCTCATCCACTTTTGATAGTTCTCAGAAGCCCACCCTGCAGAAACTTCTAGTGTGGCTGCTCCTGCTCCGTGGAACAGCATCCCTGTCAAGTTTTGACAAGCACCTACTGTGTGCACTTTCTAGAAAAAATAAATGGGTCTTTGCTCCAAGTGTCTATTTCATATTGTTTTAGATTTGTTTCAAAAGTATTGGATGATTTTTGTATGTGTGTTTAACTTGTTTTGCTCTTTTTATAGTGCATCACTTTGAGATGATTGTGTACAGGGTGATTAATCATACAGTTGGAAGGGACCCTAAGGGTCATCTATTCCAACCCCCTGCAATGCAGGAATCTCAGCTAAAGAATCCAGGACAGAGGGCCACCCAACCTCTGCCTAAAAACCTCCAAGGAAGGAGAGTCCACAACCTTCAGAGGGAATACATTCCGCTGTCAAACAGCTCTTACAGTCACAAAGTTCTTGTTCATGTTTAGCTGGAATCTCCTTTCTTTTAACTTGTAGCCATGGGTTCGAGTCCTACCCTCCAGAGCAGGAGAAAACAAGGTTGCTCCATCTTCCATGTGGCGACCCTTTAGATCTTGAGAGATGGCTCTGAATCCAAAAGAGGAGATATGAGAGCCATCTTTCAAGATTTAAAGGGTCGCCACATGGAAGATGGAGCAACCTTGTTTTCTCCTGCTCTGGAGGGTAGGACTCGAACCCATGGCTTCAAGTTAAAAGAAAGGAGATTCCAGCTAAACGACAAGAATCCACCAACAGCATTTGAATCAATATGGCGAACCTGATTCAAAAACACCCACTCCTTCACACACGAAAACAAAGTTCAACACAGCCAATCACAAACAAGCAACCGTACCCTAGGCCAACCACAATTTCTTTCACCACCAAAGGAACACATAATAATAAATTAGTAGTAGTAGTAGTAGTAGTAGTAGTAGTAATAGTAGCACCCCGCCCATCAGGCTGGGTTTCTCCAGCCACTCTGGGCGGCTTCTAACAAAGATTTAAAATACATTAAATTGTCACACATTAAAAACTTCCCTGAACACAAGCGAATAGCAAAGAGAACCTGCACAAATGATGCTGACACAACAACTCATACATACATTAAGCAAAATAGAGATATCGCCTCCCGACCCCACCCACACCCACCATGGCCCCCTCCACCTCTTCTCCCCTTTTCCCCTTCCTAATGTAACCCTAAGGTCTCAACAAATGAAACTGACCTATGGAAAATGGAACTTGAAAAAAAGAGACATTGCACATACCTTTGTAAACCAAGAAAACTTTAAGAAAATTAAAGCAACTGCAAAAGAAAAAGAAGAAAATAAAGCAGTCCAACCAAAAGCAGAAGGGAGGGAGGCCAGAGGCTTTCAAACCAGCATGCAGCTGACAGACATGAAGGGAACAGATCAAGATTTCTGCAAAGGGACATATGCAAAAGATAGAGAGGGGGGGGAGGCAGAAGGAGGCTTTGAAATCTTTGGTTTTGTGAGCATGCAAAGGAGGCACATGAGACAAAGGCAGCATCACATGGAACGCTTCGGGTTTGAAGTCACGACATTTGTGATTCTCACATGAGGGGGCTCCAGGAGCCATCAGAAGATGGGCAGCAGGTGAGATCCAGGTGCTCACATTTGAATGAGGCCAGGAGGCAGAGTCTGCATGAGACCCACGGCCAACCTTTCCCCCAACCCATACTGAGCAGCGTCGGACCCACAGCACTCGAGAAGGGGGCATCCCTCTCTCCTCCCAGGTTCAAGAGCTGATTAATCCCCTAACTGCTGCTGTTCTGCTCTGTGTGGAAATGTCTCTTGAATGATTCTAAATAAAGTTCATTGGTAATTAATATGACAGCTTGTTAGCACAGAACTGGCCAGTGGCATTATTAGCTATTTAAAAATTATTCTGATAGGTGTTTCAACTGCGCTGTTGCTTCCAGCCTTTATGTATTTATAAAAATGCCTTTCCAAATAAAATATTCTATTTTTAAAACGCTATGCTTGTCCTAACAGTTCACTGATCTGCAGGGAAAAAATTCCATCCATAAACAAATCAAAATTTTAAAATAGGCTAGGCAACCTCCGGCCCTCCATTTAGCTACCTTGGCCCATTAAAAAAACAGCAACTTTGGAGGTTATTAGTTCAAGACACTGGCAAGAGTGATCTGTCCACCACCCCTAGCAGGCTGGATGTGTGTTGGTGAGGAGGGTGGGCAGAAAAAAATGGGATGTCAGAGGGAAAGAGGGAGAATGAAAAGGGGATGGATGGATTCCACGACCTCAGAGTCCAGTAGCAATCAAAATTCAGAGGCTGTAAAGTCTCCAGCTAAGGAACCGGACCAGGTTCAGGGCTCTGAGTTGAAGGCTGATGGTCAGGAGCCCAGGGAAGCACCTCTTATACCTCTGGGACCTGTAGATGCAGATACAGGACCTTCACAGGGATCTTCTACTGAGGCTGAGGAACCATAAGAACATGAAAAGAGCCTGCTGGATCAGACCAATGGCCCATCTAGTCCAGCATCCTGTTCTCGCAGTGACTGAACAGATGCCCCTTTGGGGAAACTCAGAAGCAGGATTCAAGCCCAAGATGCTGGCTTGAACTGGAATTGAGAGTGGAGATTGTGGTTCTGTTGAAATGGAATGGTGTTTGGAAACGACAGGCAGAAAACGCCACCATCCACAGCGGAGGGAAGAGGAGTTGTTTTGGGTAGGAGAGATTCCAAGAGCTGTTTTCTGGCAACCACTCTTAAGAGCATGAAGATAAGAGCCTAAGAACAGTCTGCTGGATCAGGCCCATGGCTCATCTAGTCCAGCATCCTGTTCTCACAGTGGCCAAACAGAAGCCTCTGGGAAATCCGCAATCAGGATTCAAGCACAAGAGCTCTGTCTCTTCCTGTGGTTTCCAGCAACTGATACTCAGAAGCATCACCGCCTCCAACTGTGGAGCCATCGATAGCCCTCTCCTCTGTGAATTTGTCCAACCCTCTTTGAAAGCCATCCAAGTTAGTGGTCATCACCAACTCCTGTGGGAGTGAGTTCCATAGTTTAAGTCTGAGCTGTGTAAAGGACTTTTTTCTGATTTGTCCGGAGCCTTCCAATATTCAGCTTCAGTGTATGCTCGCAAGTTCTAGTGTTAAAAATGAGAAAAACTTTTCTCTATCCATTTTCTCTGCATCTTGCCTCATTTTATAAACTTCTATCATGTCGCCTCTTACTCACCATTTTTCTCTATTAAAAAAAGTCCCAAACACTGCAACCTTTCTTCACAGGAGAGTCGTTCCATCCCCTTGATCATTTTGGCTGCTCTTTTCTGAAGAACCAACTGCCTCAAACAGGGTCTTACTAGTCCAGGAGCGCAGGGCATGCACCAACTGAGAGGTTGTGGGACAGAGAAATACCCATCTTCAGCCCAGAGGGTTGGCACTTTGGAAATCTGAAGTTATCCACAAGGGAGCAGAGGCAGGAAAAGGCGCCTTCTGGGAAGGTTGCTGGAGCGAATTGCTCGCTTGGAGCTGTCCATGGTTCTGCAACTCCTGACCCGCCTTGTCCTGTAGGACTGGAACAGAGAAGGACAGTGACCCTGCCCGCTTTGGGATCTGATCCTGTCTGCCTCATTATCAGCATATTAACCAGGAGGTTAATGCATGCTGGGGTGAACATCAAACCATTGGGCAATAGTGTGCACTTGTCTGATTCCCAGACCCAGGATCCATGGGGCAAAGAGGAAGAGTTCTTTCCAATCCTTTTTGTGGGGTCACTGGTACTACCTGGAAATATGCCCAGCAGAAAGGAGGGAGATGATCCTTTTCTTATTAGGAATCTTTTCTGCTCAGTCCATGTTGATTTGGCTATTTGGTTTAATATTCTCAACTGGTTTCCCCACCCCCTGCAGATATTCATTGCCGCTGGGACCACATAACACTGGTTCTGAGAGATCTGCATTGGCTCCCAGTATGTTTCCAAGCACAATTCAAAGTGTTGGTGCTGACCTTGAAAGCCCTAAACGGCCTCGGTCCAGTATACCTGAAGGAGCATCTCCACCCCCATCGTTCAGCCCGGACACTGAGATCCAGCGCCGAGGGCCTTCTGGCAGTTCCCTCATTGTGAGAAGTAAGGTTACAGGGAACCAGACAGAGGGCCTTCTCAGTAGTGGCGCCCACCCTGTGCAACACCCTCCTTTCAGATGTGAAGGAAATAAGTAGCTTTCCTATCTTTAAAAGACATCTGAAGGCAGCCCTGTTCAGGGAAGTTTTTAATATTTAACGCTGTATTGTTTTAATACTTGGTTGGGAGCCGCCCAGAGTGGCTGGGGAAACTCAGCCAGATGGGCGAGGTATAAATAAATTATTATTATTATTATTATTATTATTATTATTATTATTATTTAGTAAATATAACCTTTCCCCATGTCAATCTTGTATCTCGAGCCTTCTGTAAGGGTGTGATGGCAATAACATTTGTTCAAGGCGGCACCAGCCTCTCTGTTCCTTTATGATATGCAAATACAACGTCTTATCTCTGATGAGATCTCAGGAGCAAGCCTAAATTCTGCGGCTGGGGGAAGTCTGGGGGTGGGCCAGAGTGAGGACTTATCAATCAAACAAAGCAGGGCTTTGGGGGGGGGCGATATCTGCATTTGGGGGCGGAAATTAGGTGGCCCAGGAGGCCAAATCATCTCCTTCTCCGAGACATTTAATTTTATTTTATTGTCTCTTCCCAACTATTTGCAAGTTGCTAAAGCAAAATTACCCTGTCAGGCCCATAACGTGAGCTGTTGAGAACAAAAGGAAAAGCAATTATGAATTTACCCATCTTCACAAAACACCAGAGGAACAAAGGAAGGGGCTCTGTTCCTCTTAGCAGCTGCTGGATCCTCGGGGAAGTGAAAGCCATTCATTTCTCCCGTGGAAGGAGCTGGCTGAGGGATACCGTTTGCCACACACCACCTCCTTTCTTAAAAATGTTTGGTTTCCATGTTAATTCTGGGAAGGGCTCCAGCTCAGTGACAGGTCAGCTGCTCTGCATGCAGAAGATCTCAGGTTGAATCCCTAAAACATCTCCAAGTAGGTTTGGCAACGCCACCTCTTTGAAACTCTGAGAAGCTGCTTCTGGTCAGTGTGGACCAGTGTGGAGCTAGATTGATCATGTTCTCTGCAACCACACCACTACAGCAGCAAGAATGTTGATCGCACAAAATTGGAAGACTGGAGAAATACCAACTAAAGAACAACGGCAAGAGAAGTTGATGAACTATGCAGAACTGGCAAAAAAGACAGACAGATTAAGAGAAAAAGACAACAGTGACTTTGAAAAAGAATGGGAACCATTTATATCATACTTGCAGAAACAAAGAAAGTCTATGGACTTGATGGCAGGATTTAAATAAACATTCACATCGTTAGTATTAGAAAATGTGTAGAAGATAGAGAAATAATATGGTGTATTTATTTTTATGTTTTTAGGTTTGATGTTATTGTATAAATATGTTATTAGTAGCTTTTCCTTTTAAAAGGGCAGCAAAGTGGGTGAAAGGAGAAACAAAACAGAAGCGGAAGTTGGGGGAAGCCCAGGAGGGGAGGGAGGAGGGAATGCATAGTAAATGTTATGAATATGAGATGTATGTAATGAATGAAAAAGAAAAATGAATTTAAAAAATGGGGGGGGGAGATAAGGTTGTTCTCTGCAACCTTTCATCCATCACTGTCCAGTCTACTCATGTTTTCAGTTCAGAAATGAACAGAGCTCTTTCCCTGTTTGGATCTTAGCATAGAAGGGGGCTTTGCAGGATTATAATGTCCTGTGTCCAGTCGAAGGAGGATGTTGACAAGCTGGAAGGTGTGCAGAGGAGGGCGACCAACATGATCAAGGGTCTGGAAACCAAGCCTGATGAGGAATGGTTGAAGGAGCTGGTAATGTTTAGCCTGGGAAAGAGGAGGCTGAGAGGAGATATGAGAGCCATCTTCAGATATCTTAATGTAGGGTTACAAGATGTCCCCGTTTCCCAGGGACAGTCCCCGGATTTGGGAATAAGTCCCTGAAGAAATTCCATCCCTGGAATGTCCCCAGATTTCATCTAATGTCCTAGGGAAACGCAGCAGCGGCAGTCTCAGCAGCCTGGAGCAGTTGGCTCTGGTTGGCTTCAGGAGCAGCTCGGAAGTCCCCATCTGATGGTGGTGCAGGGGCTCTCAGATGCAGCTTCTGGGATGCCTCCACCTTCCCTGACCCCAGCAACTAAGCTGGGAAGGGAGGCTTTATGCTGCCTACCAGAGCAGCCCTGATCCCAACTCCGACTTGCGTGCAAGCAGGAGGGGGCAAGGATCTCTCAGCTGTGAAGGGAGGCTTCATGCTGCTTATCAGAGCTTGCGTGCAAGCAGGAAGGGGCAGGGATCTCTCAGTTAGGCAACGGGAAGCCTTCCTTCCCAGTTGAGGGATCCCCGCCCCCTCCTCCATGCACGCAAGTAGGAATGGGATTGGGGCTACTCCGATGGGAAGGGAGGCATTGTGCTGCCCAAGCCTTGCCGCCTTCCATGCCTGACCCAACGCGCACCGCTTCCCCACCACCAAAGAACCAACAACTCAGGGGCTGCCCAGGTTCATGGAGAAAGGAGATAGACGCCTCAGAGGAAGGGGAAACGTGGCGGTTGAGGTCAAGGTGGCGGCCGTCCCTCTGCCACAGCCATCGCTGCAGCATCAACATCCCAAATGTGTGGTATTTATTTAAACTGTCCCTGGATTCATTGAAAACAATCTGGTAACCTTATTATAAGGTAGTTAAAAATCAGCGCAGGGGTTCAAGTCCTAGTCAGGCAACCCTCTTGTGAAATCTACAATTGCCTAATGGGGAGAGTGGGGAATGTGAATTGTCTATCCATCTTCAATTCCAGTGTCCAGGTGGCAGATCCAGTCACTCCAGCAACAACCCTGCCAGGGCCACTCCTAGCAACAACATCCCAAGGCGTTGCTAGCAGGGGGACCATGTGAAACCTGCAAATTTCAAGCCCCAAGAACCTCCCTTGGCAGCCCTCCCCACCCTGGAGAGGGCTGGCAGCTGGATGTCAGGGACGGCAAAGCAGCCACGGCATAACCAGGAAATAATAAACAATAATAATAATAATAAATAAATAAGAAATAAGAAATAAGAAATAAGAAATAAGAAATAAATAAATAAATAAATAATTTATTATAATAATAATGATAAAATAATATTATTATCTGGGGAAATGTCCCCAGATTCATTGAAAAAAATCTGGTAACCTTATCTTAACGGCTGTCACATGGAAGATGGAGCAAGCCTGTTTTCTCCTGTTCTGGAGGGTAGGACTCAAACCGATGAATTCAAGTTTTAAAGAAGGAGATTCCGACTAAACATGAATAAGAACTTTATGACAGTAAGAGCTGTTTGACAGGCGAATGGACTTTCTTGGAAGATGCTGAACTCTCCTTCCTTGGAGGTTTCTAAGCAGAGGTTGGACGGCCATCTGTCAGGGATGCTTTAGCTGAGATTCCTGCATTGCAGAGGGTTGGACTCAAAGACCCTTGGGGTCCCTTCGAAGTCTACAATTCTCTGATTCTCTGACTCTCTGCAGTTTGGGCTGGTTTGGGGCGAAACAGGCCAGATGAAATAAGTGTGAAGCTGCAGCAAGAGCAAATTTACAGTCCCCTGGAGGGATTTTCCTTTCCTACTTACAGCATTGCTTTGAAATACAGTACAGAGAGTGAAAAGGCAAATATAGTTTGAGGCTGGGGAGGAGAGGATGGCCCTGAAACGAAAAGGCTCGGAAGCTGAAGCAAACTGAGAAATGAGCTGCAGACAGGGAGTTGTGCCACGCTGGACCAGACTCAAAGTCCATCGAGTGAAGGGGTTCTCAAAGTGGGCAATGCCACTTTCAGGGGGGTAGTGGGGTTATTTGGGGGAGCACCGGAAGCAGGACCCTCCAAGCGTGTTAATCACTTATTTACAATGGGGCAGGTAGTAACTAGAGCAAATCTCCTTCCTTGCTTCCCATTTGAAGTTTCGCTGCTCTTATCGCTTTCAAAGGTATTTCATTTCAACATGTTTGCGTTTACGTTTCTGAGTTGTCAGAAGTAAGAAGATAGCCAATTATTGGTAACAGCCATTGATTATCTTATAAAGTGGTAACTGTACATCTGCGGTACTTGGAGGTTTTTGCATGTTTGGTTAAGTAGTTATAAACACATATTTTACGCTATAAATTTCCTTCACCCTTATGTTTTTGTTAGAAAGGATGCGTAAAAATACTGTTCATGCAATATTCCTTGCTGAATTTTACTCTGCTATTATCTTCTTTAGTGACTCGTGCAAACAGATACTCAGAATAAAGCTTTTCATAGAGTTGGATAGGGGGCACTGGGAATGAGTTTATGGAATCAAGGGACCAGGGGTCTGAAAAGGTTTGGAAGCCACTGATGTGGTCTGGAATCTGGGTGACCTCTGGGAAGCTCACAAGAAAGGAAGGACAGCAATTGCTTGCCCCTGTTTCTCGGCAGCATCAGGAATATAGTGCTTCCGAACATGGAGGTTCTACAAGAAATAAAATTGGCTGATCTCGTCTAAGTTAGGGATGGACTGTCAATCACTTTCCAGTCTGTGTCATTATTGCATGTGTTGGTTCATAAGATAGGTCAGTCGTCTATCCATGCTAATCTGTGAATTTGCTCTTTGTAAAAAATCTGGATGTAAACGAAGAATCACAGAATTGTAGAGGTGGAAGAAACATCAAAGGCCATCCAGTCACCCCCTCCTGCAATTCATGAATCCAACACCTTTCAAGGTCATCTGTTCCACTGTCAAACCCTAAGACCTTCCTACTTTTTAGTCGGAATCTCCTTTCTCATCCTTTGAATCCATTGGTTTCGGTCCTGCCCTCTGGAGCAGGAGAAAACAAGCTTGCTCCTCCTTCATGGGACAGCCCTAGATATTTGAAATTGGCTACCCTATCAAGGGACACAGGTGGCGCTGTGGTGTAAACCACTGAGTCTCTTGGACTTGCTGATCAGAAGGTTGGCGGTTCGAATCCCCACAACAGGGTGAGCTCCCATTGTTCGGTCCCAGCTCCTGCCAACCTAGCAGTTCAAAAGCACGCCAAAAAGTACAAGTAGATAAATAGGTACCACTGCGGCAGGAAGGTAAATGGAATTTCTGTGCACTGCTCTGGTTTCGCCAGAAGCGGCTTAGTCATGCTGGCCACTCGACCTGGAAAAATTGTCTGTAGACAAACGTTGGCTCCCTCAGCCAGAAAAGCAAGATGAGCGCCGCAACCCAGAGTCGTTCGTGACTGGACTTAACTGTCAGGGGTCCTTTACCTTTACCTTTTACCCTACCATTACATGCATGTGGTACATATTTAAGTATGGATCCTGTCCCATTTTATCTCAATACACATTCTGCAATGCATTTTGGTCCATTTTCTGAGCTGAGAACCAGATCAAAAAAGTTGGAGATGTGCAAATTCCAAAGGGCGGTTATGTTCCATTTCTTGCATTTGCCCAGGAGTTGCAAGTCAGGTTGATTCACTTAAAATTGCAGACCAAACACAGACCTCTCCCACCCCTAATTTAAGCCTACAGACAACACTTCATCTTCTGGTAGTGGATTCTTTAAGTTGATTATACATTACGAAAAGCATGGGAACCTTATAGATAAAGCACACACAGCAAGCTGAGTTATAAGGAAAGATTATCAGCAGCTTAAAAAATACACTAATTCCAAGTGACCTCGGGCAGCCCATCCATATTCCTAATAAAAGTGGGAGATTTTCTCCCAAATGAAGAGAGAACAGAACGGATCTTTTCAGCACCCAGCATCAACCCAAGACACACTTCCCAGGGTTTTGTTTTAAACCCGTGAAGGAGGTTAAGTTGGAGGTTAATCAAATAATGAGTGGCCTGGCAGACGTTAATGGAAAACAGCTGTTCCTCCTCTCCATCCTGCGAGATGAATTGGCAGCAGTGAGAGGGGTCAAGGTCACCAATGAAACACATGGGCCATGTTTGGGAGGGGCAAGAGGAAATCTTTGCTCTCTGCCTCTGTGCATAACAGATCTGTGGAACCTGCTGCCACTGGGAAATTGTGGTAGAGACAGCCATATGTCAAAATCTAGCACCCCGTGCCCTGACCTCATTTCCTGCAAGGCAGCTGGAATTGGCAACTCTCTGGAGACTCTGGTATAGCCAGAAAGGATGCTCTTATTACAGATGAAAATGTACACCAAGTTGTTCAAGTCTGTTCTTTGAGGGTTGCGTCATACACATACATTTGCCACTTGACTAAGGCAAGGAGTAAGGAGGCACTGTGTTTCGGAAGGAGGGTTGAGGACTCTGACAGCATCCTATAGTTCTCCATCCCACTTCCCAAAGCCTAGACGGAGGGCTCTAGGACCCTGCCAGAGCCTCACACCTCCTTCCCAAAGCTTCTGTGTCAAAGTACTCTTGTGGCCCACATGGACTGTTCTGATATTGGCACTTGTTTTCTGGATCCCGCACCCTCCAGGAATGTTAATCTGGTGGGCGACGTGGTCCTTTTATGATCTGACTGTCACCATGACTGCTTGCTTGGTCACCTAACCTCATAATCTATATATATTTTATATAAAGTGCCTTAAATTATGAGGCCTTGTTCCATAAATTTTTTTAAAAGGTGATTTCCTGCCCACAGGGCCACAATCTAAATGTCATCCTTTTGACATTATTGGAGCGGCCTGGATTTATCTAGCAGTTGGAGAGCAGCTACCACACCCCTTTGAAACCGAATAAATAGCTCCTAAGAGGCTAGATTCCCAGCTCCCCTGGTCTTCTGAGCACAAATTGTCACAACTGTGCATCATACAAACTTACCTTACATCCACTAACTGGGTTGAGTTCTGGGCACTACAACTGAAAGAGGATATTGTTACAAAATCCTAGTACCTGCAACTCTCTGCCAAGCAGTGGCAAGAGCCTATGGGGTCCCAGGCACACATACAGGGTCTGTGTCCCGTTGGAGAATAGAAGACATAGCAGGGATTGTCGTGCTTTAAGAAATAGGGTTTATTCAGCTATTTACACCTTCAGTCTGCAGGGAGGGAGTCCAGATCTTACAGCGTGACCCAAGGCATTGCAGGCAACTTTTTGGCTCCTTCTCCAAGATTTTACTTTCTTTCTATTTCTATGCCGCTTTTTATTCAAATAAATCCCAAAGCGGCTTACAAACGAAAGATAAAAATAACAGAACGGAACATCACGAATACAGCATGAATCGTATCGAATATTTAGCAAATCATCAGTAAAACAATCCCAAATCCCAAATAAAACAGTTGCCATCTATGTAACACTATTAACAAAACAACTAAAGAATAAGCTAAACATCACAGTTACATCAAAAATTATATTATAGGAGTCACAAAGTACGACAGCATTCATATACATAAAACAACATTAACAAAATAGCAACAATACAAAGCCCTGTTGAATTTGTACATGTGCTCTAGCAAGATGGATCTCAGCCTTGCTTCCTCCTCCTTCAGCCCAGAAGCTACTACTTCAAAACTCCCTTTTCCTGTCTCCTCAAACACACAGTTACCCTGGCATCCTTTGTGATATCTGACTCCCTAGGCCAGGGGTCCCCAACCTGCAGCCCATGGGCTGGAAGCAGCCCATGGAGGCCGTTTAACCGGCCCTCAAGCTGCCCCTGAACCGAGCCACCCACTCAATGAGTCCCCACACACTGCGCTAAACCGGCACAGCGCAGCGCGGGGACTCTCTTTCGCAGCTCTGGAAATTGCTTCTGCACATGCCCAGATGCCGGAAATTGCTTCTGCACAGGCATGATTTTCTGTCTCTTGGCATGCGCAGAAGCGATTTCTGGCACCACGGACATGCGCAGACATGATACATGCGCAGACGTGATACATGCGCAGATGTGATTTCCAGTGTCACGCTGCGCCAGTCTGGCCCAATGGAGGATCTCCACAGGAGTGATCCGGCCCATGCCCGATAAGCCTTGCCGACCCTGCCCTTGGCCAAAAGATCCTTCTACAACACCCTTTTGTAATGCTAACAGCTCTGCTCTTAAGCCCAGCCATTCAGACTGGTTTGCATAAGCCAGCCCAGGAACTCCTTTGCAGCTTGCATTCTCCCTTCGTACCACAAATTACCAAGATCCTAGCACTGATTGATTTCTAGTTTTGTCCTGTCTATAACAATATTAACAAGCTGGAAGGTGTGCCGAAGAGAGTAACAGAGACAATCAAGGATCTGGAAACGAAGCCTTATGAGGAACAGTTGAAGGAACTATGAATGTTTAGCTGCGATAAGAGAAGACTGGGAGGAGATATGATAGTCACCTTCCAATATCTCAAGGGCTGTCATATGGAAGAGGCAACTAGCTTGTTTTCTCCTGCTCTGGAGGGTAGGACTCGAACCCATGGCTTCAAGTTACAAGAAAGGAGATTCAGCTAAACATGAAGGAGACCTTTCTGGCAGTAAAAGCTGCTCAACAGTGGAACGGACTCCCTTTGGAAGGTGGTGGAGTCTATTTCCTTGGAGGTTTTTAAGCAGAGGTTGGATGCTTTAGTTGAAATTCCTGCATTGCAGAGGGTTGGACTAGATGACCCTTGGGATCCTTTCCGACAGTTTTATGATTCTGTGAATTAAAGCGTTGAATCAGCTTGCCTCATTTAGACCAGTAGCAGTTCCCTGAGGTCCCAGGAAGGGAGAGAGAGATGATGAGAGGGGGGTTATCACCATCATCATCTAATATATCTATATTCTACCTTTCTACCAAGCTGGGATTCTGGGCTTTTCGTCCCTGCATCCCCCTTTTTAATTGGAAAGTTGGTTTGTCGGAGATTATTTTGTTGGTCCCATTCAAAAGGCGAACTGTTTTCTCCTTAAACAAAAACAAGATGAAACCACAGTCTTTGGGGGAATTAAATATATGAGTGTGGCAGGGCATCCTCCCTGGTTAAACATTTCAAATTACATTGTACTGGCAGCACTACAAGAGAGGAGCTGGCGTCGTAACGCGACAAGACGCTTTCTCTCCGAAGCTGATTTATGGCTCACACCATCCTCTCTTCACAGTTCAAGTCATAAATTGCACCTTGACGGGAACAGAGACATGGTGTTATCTTTGCCGACACGCCTCGGTCTCTATCAACGCAACTGACCCCAGGAAGGAGACCAGAGGACAGGGCATGAACACACCCCTTTGCACAACCGCAGGGACTTTCCCCCTGAAGGAATTTGGCTACACTGAGTCCAGGAGTTTTCTTCTTTTTTTTTTTCAAGTGAATTTTTATTGTTTTCCTTACATATTCTTTTCCAACAAATTGTAATAGCACCATACATTCCCTTTGACTCTGCCGAGTCGCGACCCCCCTCCCTCCCCACAACTGGTATATTTATCCTCTTTCCATCACGCACATCATTCTCATATTAGTACTATTATACATTGGAGGTATTATGTCAATCCTGCTAGTGTCTTGACCTCTTTACAATTCTTCTTTAAATATTCAATAAATTTACTCCAGTTATTTTGGTATCTTTGATCTCCCTGGTCCCGGATCCTCCCTGACAGTTTGGCAGCTTCTGCATATTCTGTCAACTTTGCCTGCCACTCCTGAATAGTTGGTATGTCTTGTACTTTCCATCTTTGGGCCAGAAGGGTCCTCGCGGCAGCTGTAGCATACATGAACAGATTTTGATCTTCTATTTTAATTTCTGTTCCTATTAAGCCTAATAGACACGCTTCCGGTCTTTTGGGGAAAGTATATCTAAATATTTTTTTGAGTTCATTATAAATTGATTCCCAAAATTTTTTTACCTTATCACAGGTCCACCACATATGGAAATAGTCCCCATCTGCCTTTTTACATTTCCAACATTTTCTTTCTTTTTACCTATACATTTTAGCAATTTTACTGGCGTCAAATGCCATCTATACATCATTTTTAGCAAGTTTCCTTTAAAGTCATGCATCCTGTAAATCTCAAACCCTCCTTGCATAATCTTTTCCACGCATCCAATTCAATGTTATGCCCAATATCAACTGCCCATTTTATCATTGATTCCTTTACTTCTTCGTCTTTTGTATACCATTCTAGCAATAAACTATACATTCTTGATAAAATTTTATCTTTACAGTGACTTATTAAAGGAAGATAAAAAGAGAAATGGGTTCGAAGATAAAAAATCGAAATTCCAAATCGAGTTAATAGACTGTAAAGAGTCCAGGAGTTTTCAGCCGCCTGCTAGATTCACAACTTTGCTAAAAGGAGAATGTCCTGGGGAAATCGCACGTGTAGTTCAGCCTCAACAGGTTTTTTCTTTCTCTTGCAAAGGACCATCGGACGAGGGACGGAGCAGACATAGCTCAGTAGTTAGAGCAGCTGCTTTTCATGTAGAAGGTCCCAGGTTCAGTTCCTGACATCTCCAAGTTGGGCTGGGAGAAACCTGAAAAGCTGGAGAGCCTCTGCCATCGTTCTGCCTGGACACTGAGGTCCAGCGCCAAGGGCCTTCTGGCGGTTCCCTCACTACGAGAAGCTATGTTACAGGCAACCAGGCAGAGGGCCTTCTCGGTGGTGGCACCCGCCCTGTGGAACGCCCTCCCACCAGTTGTCAAAGAGAACAGCAACTACCAAACTTTTAGAAGACATCTGAAGGCAGCCCTGTTTAGGGAATCTTTGAATGTTTAATAGGTTATTTGTATTTTAGTGTTCTGTTGGAAGCCGCCCAGAGTAGCTGGGGAATCCCAGCCAGATGGGCGGGGTATAAATAATAAATTATTATTGTTATTATTATCTGCCAGTCATTGTTGGCAATACTAAGGTAGGTGGGACAATAATCTGACTCAGTCAGCTCCATATGTTCCCATGAAGGGAGTGCTTCTTCTTCTTCTTCTTCTTCTTCTTCTTCTTCTTCGATCCCTCGTAGCCGAGTAAGATTGTCTTCCATGAACACGATTTGAACAATGAATCCATAAGTGACTGTGGAGGCCAATTCTGGATCCACACGTCCTTCCACAGTGGGGACATAGGTTTCCAGGCAGGAGTTGATCACGGTGTGGATTTGCCAAGCATGCCTTCCTCTTGGCACGTTTCTCCCTTGCGCCCTGAGTTCAAGTGTCTTCAAAGACCATGACACCTTTGGTAAAGGCTGTTCTCCAATTGGAGCACTTGCAGGCCAGTGTTTCCCAATTGTTGGTGTTTATACATTTTTTAAAGATTTGCCTTGAGACAGTCTTTGAACCAGCATTACACTTTCCATTTTTAAGTTTGGAATAGAGTAGTTGCTTTGGAAGACGATCATCCGGCATCCGCACAACATGACCAGTCCAACAAAGTTGACGTTGAAGAATCATTGCTTCAACACTGGTGATCTTTGCTTCTTCCAGTACACTGGCATTAGTTCGCCTGTCTTCCCAAGTGATGTGTAATTTTTTTCAGAGACAACGCTGATGGAATCTTTTGAGGAGTTGGAGATGACGTTTATAAGTGGTCCATGTTTCACAAGCAGACAGTGAGGTTGGTAGCACAATAGCTCTGTAAACAAGCATTTTGGGAGCGCTTAACCCTTCCCTGGCCACCTGCTTGCACTCTGAATCTATGCTGACTGGGGCTGATGGGAGTTGTGGTCTGGATGGGCACTAGGTTGGGGAAGGCTGCCCAGAGGTATCGCCATGAAGCCAAGGAGCCTGGTGATTTCAGACATCAAAAGGGAAAGAGAGAGGGATGAGTGACGATGATATATCCCTACCCTCCAAAAAACAAGAGCTTGGAATCGCCTTTTGACTGCTCTGTCTGTGTCAGATCATAATTCAGCATCTTGAGAAAGGGGGGGGGGGAATCCATCTCAGAAGCACAGCGAGAAGAAAGGATACATCTGGGCTGCATGCTATCACCAGACCTCCGTGCCGCTTTCAAGAGGGAGAAAAAAGGAACGTGCAGATCAGTCCCAAAAAAGTTCAGGGGAGGCTTCTCCTCTGCCTCCCATACACATCAACCGCCTGACTATTTCCTTTCATTTGGGTCCACCTGGATTCTACCAGCAAAGTCAAAATCTCCGCACGATGGAATCAAGAGAGCATCACATCACTTTCTCGGCAAATGTTTATAATTAAATGGCTGGCTTTTATCAAAAACTTCACCGTTTTTGCTCGCTGGTAATACTGCAAAGCCGATCACACTTATTACTATTTTACAGATGATTTTGCTGACAGGCTGAGAGGCAAAAGCTTTGCAAGCCTGCCCACAGAACTGAGTCCATAGGCGAACTCTGACCTGAGCCCGGTATGATTAAGAGCACAAGAAGAATATGTTGTTATTGTTTCCTCTTCTTTCCTTTTACGAAATGCAGCAGAGAAAGTGGGGGGAAAGACCACAACAAAGCAATTTGAAGAGATGTACTACATCAGACCAACAGCTGTTGATAGAACTTTCCACCTCCCTGAAGTTGTCCCACCCCCTTCCAAAGCTGGTGGTCACATCTTGTGGCAGTGAGTTCCATAGTCTAGCTATGCACTCTGGCTGGCTGCCACATTATCCTAGGATAGAGAACAATAGGGGCTGTGGGTGTGTGAGAGCTGTGTGTGAGAGCTGACCTGATGCTGGAAGCCGGAGACACAGAGGCGTGTCTTGCTCTGGTTGCATATATGTGCTAATAAGACCATATAACCTGATTGCAGCAGAGCTTCCACTGATTTCCTTTCCAAGGAAACTGAACCCTGGATAAGCACAGAAATTCCACACAGAGATTTGGGTGTGTGCAACAATGCTGTGGCCTTCAACGCTGTGAGCCTTGCATATGAAACAGACCTCAATTAGGTCAGGAGAAGTCATGAAACGTGGGCACAGCCCGTCTTTGGAGAAAGAGGGGCACAGGATAGGTCTGCTGGGGTCTAAATCTGTTTAAAATCTTCCCAAGCAATTGAGAGAACAGAATGCATTGCCCATTAACTCCGGTGTCAGGAGACGCAAAGGCAGAGATGGGAGCTCACTTGGGGACAGGGGATAATTACAAGAAGATTAGAGGAAACATTATGAGCACCACGCAAAGGCCAATGCGGAGGTTTAATTCCAGAGCAATGATACCTGGGGAAGCCCAACACAAGCAAGAGAATAAAGGACTGCCGTTGCCCAGAGAGAAGGAACACTGAAAAGAAGGAACTGGAGGAAGAAGTGCGGACTGGATTTAAGGCGAAGGTGCTGGCTCAAACTGGAATTTAGAGTGGAGATTGTGGTTCTGTTGAAATGGAGTGGTGTTTGGAAACGACAGGCAGAAAACGCCACCATCCACAGCGGAGGGAAGAGGAGTTGTTTTGGGTAGGAGAGATTCCAAGAGCCGTTTTCTGGCAACCACTCTTAAGAGCATGAAGATAAGAGCCTAAGAACAGTCTGCTGGATCAGGCCCATGGCTCATCTAGTCCAGCATCCTGTTCTCACAGTGGCCAAAAAGAAGCCTCTGGGAAATCCGCAATCAGGATTCAAGCACAAGAGATCTCTCTTCCTGTGGTTTCCAGCAACTGATACTCAGAAGCATCACCGCCTCCAACTGTGGAGGCAGAGCATAGTCATCCTGGCTAGTGTTCTGCGCCTGGCAGTAACCCATGAAACATGGTCCAGGACCGGTCCAGAATCCGAAGGTCCTGCTAGGAGTCAGTCCGACAGAGTCAAGGCAGGACACGAGGCAGGAAACCAGGCAAGGACAGGTACAGGATCTCAGGTAGGATCTGGCATACAGCAATGTTGCTCCCGCAACCTGGGGCGGGGTCCGACAGCCTTTTATCTTTGTAGGGGTAATGGCCGGTCCTGATCCCCCCGCGACTCACCTCCCTGCTTCGCCCGAAGGCGAGCACTCCTCCTGCGAGTACTCAGGTCTCTCCTTCTCTCAGAAATGAGTCTCTGCAACTCGGGAGACGTTGGAGGGTTACTAGACCCAGGGGCTGCCTCAGCTTCCCCTGACCCAACTGGTAGTGGAGCAGCTGTAAGTGATGGCCCAGCTGGAGGCAACGAGGTCATCCCCGCATCTGGAGCCAGGGCAGGCTCAGGCCCCTGACCCGGCCCAGCTCGTGCTTGTTGCAGGGGAACCTGTGCAGACTGGGGCTCTTCAGGATCAGGCCCCAGACTTGGTTCAGGTGATGCCTGAGGCAGAGGATCCGGTGCGGACTGAGACTCCTCTGGTTCCGAGTCTGAGCACAAGTCCCAGGCCATCACAGCTAGTAGCCATTGATAGTCCTCCTCTCTGTGAATTTGTCCAATCCTTTTTTAAAGCCACCCAAGTTATTGGTCATCACCAACTCCTGTGGGAGGGAGTTCCACAGTTTAACTCTGCATTTTACCTCTCCTTCATCTTCCAACATTCAGCTTCATTGAGTATCTATGACTTCCAGTTGCAGAACTCTTAGCTCTTAGCTCAGTCCGTAGAGCATGAGACTCTTAATCTCAAGGCTATGGATTTGAAGCTCACGTTGGGCAAAAGATTCCTGCATTGCAGAGGGCTGGACTAGATGACCCCTATGATCCCTTCCAACTCTATAATTCTATGATTCCTTGAAAATATTTTCCCCAGTTTGCAGTCTGTGGAGTGACCATGCATTAATTTAGATGATTTTTTTGCACAAGCCACTGATCGATTTACACAAAGGCAGATAGATAAAGACACACAAAATCCATAAAAACGACAAATCCCTGAATACCGTTTGCTAATAGCCGGAACAGCAATCAGGTCTCTCCTCTACCAAATGCCCATCGGAAAAGATGTGTCTTAATTGGAGTAAGAACTCCAGTTGTTCATAATGGAACGATTGTAAACAGTATAACAAGGGAAAGAAACAAAAAAAAGTTCACACAATCCGTTCTCCCCGATCATGGGAGGAGATCGCTGGCCACCCAGGACAACATGGCAGAAAATCATTTCTAGCAAGAAGTAGTCAGAATAAGGTCTGCTGTGCTTATATCCACCTCGTGGGCTTCCCAGATTTCGCTGTGGGAAACAAGATGCTTTGGAATGATCCACTGGGGATCTTATGAATTGCAAATGGATCCATTGCAAGATTTAAAGCACATCCTTAAGGCTTCAGAGAAAGAGACGGCTTAGGACAGCTTCCTAAGGCTGACGGCTTCTGGTTCTTGCAAAATAAACAAACGTGTTTTGCAAAAGCCAGAGAAGACCTTTTGGCAATATGCAGAGTGACAAGACGGGCCGAGCACTTAATGAGGGAGCCTCCGTGTGAGAAGAGGGGTGCTCTATAGTGCACAAGATAGTTCCTGTTTTCATCACCGAAACGTTGGAGGGAATGGAATAAATACATAAATACATTTTTTATAGCCAGGAAGAAGGGGGCAACGCTGCCATTTCCTGCCTTCAGTGTCTCTTCAGCTGCTCTGAGCCTGAGCCTTTTGTAAGGCAAAAATAGTATCAGTTTTCAAGAAATGTTGACTTTGGGGCTTTTCAAAAAGCAATGAGATAATCTTAGGAAAGGAAGTGGAGTATGCACCTTCAGCAACTGCAAGATCCAAAACTCTGGACTCAGCCCTTCCCGTACTTCGTCTCCATTCCCCTTGCTCCATAGTTCAAAGATAAATAATAATAATAATAATAATAATAATAATAATAATAATAATAATATTTATACCCTGCCCATCTGGCTGGGTTCCCCCAGCCACTCTGAGCAGCTTACGACACATAAAAAATTGTAAAATATTAGACATTAAAACATTTCCCGATACAGGGCTGCCTTCAGATGTCTTCTAAAAGTCAGGTTGTTGTTTATTTCCTTGACATCTGATGGGAGGGCATTCCACAGATTTTAGTTTTTATGATCAATCAAGGCAGGTTACTATATTCAAAGTAGAAATATAATGGCAAAGGAAGCAAAAACAGCTGGATGGTCCGTGCATTTCATTCCCCTTTTATCAGGACAGATAAAATGAAGTCCTTCTTCACATAGTTAAACTGTGGAACTCCCTGCCACAGTAGGCAGTGATGGCTACCATCCTAGATGGCTTTAAAAGAGGATTAGGCAAATTCATGGAGGAGGAGAGGGCTATTGATGGATACTAGCCAGGATGGTTCTGCTCTGCCTTCACGGTCAGAGGTTGCAATGCTTTTGAATCCCAGTTGCTAGAGACCCCAGAAGATTTTGTACATGACAGGAAGGGCCGACATCACAGCAACACATGCTAACAGAATGCTAACATCAACCCATTAAGCTCTGAGTGATCTGCAACCTTGGTTGCTATTATTTTATTGCTGTTTTTTATTTTTATTTTCAGCGTTTAGTACATGCTTTTTTATTGTTGGGTAGCTGCTGTCTAAAAAAGCAATGACAAACCTAGACAGCATCTTAAAAAGCAGAGACATCACCTTGTCAACAAAGGTCCATATAGTTAAAGCTATGGTTTTCCCAGTAGTGATGTATGGAAGTGAGAGCTGGACCATAAAGAAGGCTGATCGCCAAAGAATGGATGCTTTTGAATTACGGTGCTGGAGGAGACTCATGAGAGTCCCATGGACTGCAAGAAGATCAAACCTATCCATTCTGAAGGAAATCAGCCCTGAGTGCGCACTGGAAGGACAGATCCTGAAGCTGAGGCTCCAATACTTTGGCCACCTCATGAGAAGAGAAGACTCCCTGGAAAAGACCCTGATGTTGGGAAAGATGGAGGGCACAAGGAGAAGGGGAAAACAGAGGACGAGATGGTTGGATACTGTTCTCGAAGCTACCAGCATGAGTTTGACCAAACTGCGGGACGCAGTGGAAGACAGGAGTGCCTGGCCTGCTCTGGTCCAGGGGGTCACGAAGAGTGGGATACGACTAAACGACTAAACAACAACAACAATCCAAATTCTTGCTTTCCCCTGGCTTTCCCTATTACTGCACTTCTGCTTGAATCCAGTTGGACAGAGGATGTACTAGATACCCACTGGACTTCCTCTAAGTCAGCTTTCCTTCACCCACCTGGTGGCCCCCCACCCAATATATTGGTCATGAACAGTGTTGGCTGGGGGCTGATGGGAGCTGTAGTAGCCAAACGCCTGGAGAGTGTTGAATGGTTTCTTTAAATGTAAAGGTTCATCACTGTTCCACCCGATGTGTATGTCTTTAAGGGGCCAAAGCAAGGGCCAGAGCAAGATAACGAGACCCAGCTTTACAGCTGTGAAACATAGCAGGTGCTGCCGAGTTGTACTGATTAAGCTGTGTTGGTAATTGGGTGTAGTATATAAGGAGCAGCACCTAGATCTCCCATTCCCTGGGGGATGGGTTGGTGGTTGGGTCATGTTTGTTTGTTAATGTATTTAGTGTAAAAGGAGTTTTTGTTTTTCTTATTAAAACCTTGTTTAAGTTATTTTGAGTCCCTTTTAATGCATGGTCTCCCAGCAAGCTCTCTGCAGCGCTACCATACTGCAAAAAGCCAACATCTTTGGTTATGGGCCCAGCTGTTGAGTGGATGACTGCATATTTTTGGACTCTGAGAAAGGTTTGAAAACTCCTTCTCCTGTTAGCGTAGTTCTGTGGGTCTGGAAGAGTTCCAGAATGGTTGACTGGGTTCCTGAAGCTGAGAAGGCTCTGGTCTTCCCACAGCTAACAGATGAGAACTATAGTTTATGGTCTTTTCGGGTGGAGGCGCTTTTGACCTCTAGAGAAGTATGGACCTATGTAACTGATGACCCTCCTGACCCTGTAACTAATGCTTGGTCAAAAGGAGATGCGAAAGCCAGGGCGATAATTAATTTGGCAGTCAGCGACCAGCAAGTAGTCTATATAAGAAATAAGAAAACTGCCAAAGAAATGTGGGACAGTCTTGCAGCAGTGCATGTTAGAAAAGAGTCAGCGTCTGCATTGACGTTTTTCAAGCAGTTGTACCAGACGAAGTTGCAGCCTGGTGGTGATTTGGCAGCACACTTGAGACGTCTGGAGGCAATACGCGGCGAATTAATTCAAAGGGACATGGAGATACCTGATATTCAGTATGTTTTCATCATCCTTTGTTCCCTTAATGAGGACTTTGATGGTATAGCTAGCCAGATATCTGCAGTTCCACCAGCACAATTAACTGTGGAAGGGTAACGGCAAGATTAATGGGCGAGTTGGACAGAAGGGAGGCTTGTGCCATAAGCACTCCTATTTCCAGAAAGAATGAGGAACGCCATATGCAAACTTGTGGTGATACAACTGCATTTAAAGCTGCAAAGCGTTGTTGGTTCTGCAATAAGCAAGGACATTTTGCAAAGGACTGCAGATCCAAAAGAAAGCAAAGTACTCCCAAGTCTGTTTCTGTTCGTCAGTCACGGTCGTCAGCTCAGCAGCCGGCATCGTACCGTAAAGACAGAAACGAGCCGCGAGCTTTCACGCTAGCACAAGAGATCGTAAAAGAATTAAAGGTGCCAAGTGGAATTCTTTTATTGTGGACTCAGGAGCATCTCAGCACGTTTGCAACGATCGAAGCTTGTTTATTTCTTTCGAAGAGGAAATTGGTAATGTACATTTAGCCAATTCACAAGTCTTGCAGTCGCTTGGCAGGGGTACTGTTAAACTTGACTCTTTAAACATTACTATAGCGAACTGCATTTACTGCCCATCAGTGGACAATTTATTGTCAGTAAGGTGTTTTGCTCGTCAAGGCATAACTCTGCGTTTCTTAAAGTCAATGTGTGAGTTTTTCGAGGGAACAAACGTCTATTGTATGCCCGGGAATCTGATGGTTTATATAGACTGTATTTTCGCACCTACTCCCAATCGCCTATAAATTGCAGAGCAGCACAGTCAAGCCAGGGCTTGAGGAATGTAAGGCCACATTCTGGGTGTGTCCATGAGGCGCACAGAATTCTGGGACATCTGAATTTTGCTGATGTAATTAAGACCAAGAATATTGTTAATGGCCTCAACTTAAAACCATGTAAATTCTTTATGCAATGTCTATTCTGTTGCAAGAATAAGATTAAGGTTGCACGCAAGGGTAGGTGCTCAGATAGGAAAGTAACTGAGCCATTTGAGCGTATACATTGTGATTTAGTTGGGCCACTCCCACCATCCTTAGGAGGTTCTAAGTACTGGCTTACCCTGATAGACCAGTATAGTAGATATTGTTGGACTTATGCAATAGCTGAGAAGTCCCAAGCATTTGAGAAGTACAAAGTTTTTGCAACTGGGTAAAAACACATTTTAACAAACCTATTAAGAACCTTTTTCTGACAGGGGCGGGAATTTGTTTCTGAGGATTTTGAGAAATTCCTGGAAGCGCAGGGGACTACTCATGAGTTATCTTGCCCCCGAGTCCCTGGCAAAATGGGCTTGTTGAAGTTGTGCAGCGTGACCTGCAGGCAGGGGTTAAAACTTATCTGCATGATGCTAATCTGCCCAAAGACTTTTGGGCTGAAGCGCTCAATGCCTTTTGTTATGTTAGAAATCGCAGTTATCATTCTGGTTTAGATGTCACCCCCTATGAGAAGCTGTTTAAAAACGCCTAAACTG